TTTGATTATTTTTTCACTTTCAAAATAATCCCGTGGTTACGAAAATATGAAAATATCTTACTTGTTCTTCCATTTGTGGCCAATGTGAATCGTTCCTTGTCCTTCACATACAATGGACAAAGTGGAGATGAGTGAACTTTCAATGAATCGGAAGACTAAAATATCGCAGACGACCAGGTTAGTCATTTCCTCTATCCTGACTAAAATTTGGATATTTCTCAAAATTAATATTTTATAGGAAAAAAAATTTAAAAAAGAACTTTTTTTTATGGATGAAATATTTTAATTGATAAAAATATTCTTATCATATTTTTAGTGACAAAATTATACATTTAGTAAATAATTATTATATTTTTTTAATCAAAATTTTCATTTCAAAAAGTAAACATTTTTTATATGAAATTATTTTGTTACTAAAAGTGTGTTTATTTATTAATGTATTTACTGCAATCCCTAAAAATGCATTTTTTAGTGTATTTATTAGTGCAAAAAATTTCACTTGGAATGAAAAGAATTAGTTTCTAAAGACAATAGCTTCTCTCCAGTCCTCCATCTAACTAGAGAGGTACTATTCGGCTTAGTGAGCTCACTTTTAAGCCTCATTTTGATGATCTAAACCGTTAATATTTTAGGGTTCGTCGAGTACAAAAAATCAAGTGGATCAAATAACGACAACCACGTGTTCGAATCAATTTTATATTAAAAAATGGACAGTGAAGAAATAAACGGTTCATACAAAATTAATCCGAAAATGTGATTTTCGTTATCTGAGGGACTTATTTTTTGCAAGGATGTTGCACTCGACAAAACCTAAAATGTAAACATTTTGGATCATCGAGATGGGGCTCAAAATCAGCCTACTGGGCCAGACTGCGCCATCTAATCCAATGGAGGACAGAAGATAATCCAAACTCTTCCTCAAACTCTTATATTTTGTAGTGAAGACATCACATCATGATAACAATAAAATAAATTGTAAATTACAATTACCCCTGGAGATTTTCGATAAATACATTTGAATGCCTAAAGTTTCAAAAAAAAAAAAACATGTTCCACCCCTTGAGATCTTAAATAACGTAATTGTGGTGGGTAAAAATTGCACCACTTGACTACGGTGCTACAGCAGTTTTGTATCGCTTTGGACCTGAAATCACTCACAAAATGATGAAGAGTCTGGCTGGGGAGTAGCATGGGGACACTCCGATGCCTAAGTTACTAAAACAATAGACAAAGGTGTAGAATATGTGAGTAAATGTTCAAAACACTACAAGAAAAGTGGGTATATGAGACGGGACTATTTGCGACGGCACACTTGCCGTCTCAAAAAGTCACTTTTTGCGACGGCAGAAAATGCCGTCTCAAAAAAGCAGAATATTTGCGACGGCACCATTTGCCGTCTCAAAAAAGCAGAGCATTTGCGACGGCACAATTTGCCGTCTCAAAAATCAAGAGCATTTGCGAACGGGTAGTTTCTGCCGTCAGCAAATACTCTACTTTGTTTGAGACGAGACGAGCAATAGTGTGCCGTCGCAAATTGCTTCCTGCCCTTTTTGAGACGGCAATTTTGGTGCCGTCGCAAATATCGTCTAACTTTTTATGAGACGTCGATATTTCTGCCAGTTCGTGCAAAAAGTGACTTCGTAGTACTTTTTCGTTAATTTTAGTGAATTTTTTTAAAATTTTGAATATTTTTTTTAGATGCATTTCCGCTTAGATGTATTAAAAAAAAAATAATGAAAAAATATTTTAAAAACTTAATAGATACAATAAAATATTAAAAAAAAGTATTTAGTCATTATTGTATTTTTGATGATTTAGTGAGATTTTTAAAAGATTTTTATTTATCATTTTTAAAATTTTTAAGGTGTATGTATGTAGGTGTGTCTAAAAATTAAAAATTAAGTCATACTTCAAATATTATAAAAAAATTCAGTAATAAACAATTATATCACGGGGAAAACACAGAAAGTTATATCATTTTCTCTGAAAAGAGTTTATTGGAAACTCATAACCTCAGGCATAATGTGATTGTTGTTTTTGAGACAGGTTTCACTATATAATTACAGCTCCACAGAAAGTTGGTAATATGTCTAGTACTTTTTTCTGTCGCAAAAAAAAATTAAAAAAACATGTCTCGTACTCTTTTAATAACATTCTCCTTTTCATTCATTTTCTTTCATCTTCCATGTCTCTCTGTCTCTATCTCTCTCTCTTCTCTTTATCTCTTCACTTATCACTCTTTTTTCTCTGTCTGTCTGTTTCTGCTCTCTCATTTCCTTTCCTATGTCTCCGCCTAAATCTCTCTTCCTCTACTCCTCTCATCTTTTTTCCTCTCGCTCTCATCGCTCATTCTTCTTCTCTCTATCTCTCTCATTTCTTTTTCTTCTCTCTTTATCTTTCTATCTTCCTTCCGTCATTTCTCTTCTCTCTCTATTTCTCTTTTTTTCTGTGTCTCTCTCCGTCATCTGCTTTTCGCTCTGTGTTCGCTGCTTCGTCTTTTGTCTATCATGCATCCTCGTTCATGGACAGCTGTTGTTCTGTCCTCTTCTTTTCTATCTTTCCCTCTCTCTCTATCTCTATCTCTCTCCTCCGTCTCTACATCCTTCACGGCGTAACCACTTACGAGCTTGTGTGTTTCAATGTCCACCAGCATGTCATCACTCTTCTCTTCGCGCAGCTCTCTCTCGCTCTTTCTGCTCCTCTTCTCTCGCTTTATCCTTCTTTTCCCTGTCTTCAGTTTCTTTTCTTACCGGCTTATACCGGCATACCTTCTGCTCTTCCTTCTCTCCTTCTTAGCTTGTCTTATTTGTTCCTCATTTTCCTCACTATTTTGGCCGTTTGCTGCACTCCTTATTCCCATCTGTCTCTATTATCGGGGAGGCTCCTTCGGGAATTTATTCGGGATCCACTATAAACGACCGTTCGTCTTACTCCTTGTTACATTTCTCTTTCACCCATTTTTTCATCTTCCTATCTACTCAGTCTCTGCGTCTCTCTTCTCTTTTTCCTCTCTTATCCCATCACTCCTCCCTGTCTGATCTATCTTCCTTCTCTATGTGGCTCACTCTGGCTCCACTCATCTCTCTTCTCTGGTCTGTTCCGCTCTCTCTTTCTCTCTGTGTCGTTGGTCTCTCTCCTTCCTCTCTCTTACATACACATCACTTCTCTCCTGTCTGTCTGTCTGTTCATCTTTTCGTTCTGTGTCTTCGTCCATCCTCTTCTCTCTATCGTCTTTCTCTTCTTTCTCTCTCTGTCTCTCTCTCTTTTTTTCTCTCTCGCTCATTCTTTCTGTCTCTCTCGTTTTATCTCTTTTCGCTCTTTTTTTCTCTTCTGTTCTCTATTTGTCATAATCTTTTCAACCAATTTTTCATCTTCTTCCCTCTCTACTCTTCTCTTTCTCTTCTCTTCGATCACCTTCTCTCTGTCTGTTTTTGTTCTCTCATGTCTCTCTGTGCTTCATGTCGCATCTATTCCTCGATGCATCTCATCTCTTTTCCTTTTTGGTGGTTGTGCCTCTCACTCATCTCTCTCTCTCACCCACTGCATCTCCGCTACCACCTTCATCCAACTGCAACCCATTTACTTACCACCACTTTCTTACTACCACCCGGCGGGTCCACACTCACACTCTACCGACATCACCATTTCTGCGGACTACATCGGCCAGCACTCACTAACACCACTACCACTACTACCTACTCTATTACTGCTCTTTCACGCCTGGGCAGGACCTGCCTATTCTACTCTACTAAACTAGCACAAAATTTACCATAACATTCTCCTTGGAGTCACTCACCACCACCACCAACACCAGCTCATCTTCTCGTATCCACCACCTTGGCACCACTACTCGGTCGGTTCTCTTCTCTACCACAAATCATTATCTCCTACTTCTCTCTTTCACTCACACTTCCTCTCTCGGTCTGTCAGTCTTTGTCTTTGTCTCTTTCTCTTCTCTCTCTCTCTTTGGTACTTCCGGGCTCATGCTCTCTTCTGCCTATCTCTCATTATCTCTCTTCTCTCTGCTGCATTTTATCTTTCTTCTCGTATCTCTCTATCCGTCTCTTCTCGCTCATTTTCTTCTCTCTTCGTCTCTCTCTTTTCTATGTTTCTCTCGATCTCTTTTTTTGCTCTACTTTCTCTTCTACTGCTGCTCTATCCTCACTCATCTCATTGTTCTCTTATTCTTCTATACTGTTCTCTCTATCTGGTTTCTCTCTTCTGCTCTGCCTCCCTATTCTTTCCTATATTCTTCTGCTTTGTCTCTCTCTCACTTATATCACTCTTTCTTCTCTTTCTCCTCTCTATTTTTTTGTCTGTCTTTCCCGTCTTTCCTCTCTCTCTTCTCTACTAGTTGCTTCTGTCGCTTGCTCCTCTCCATTGTGTTCACCTTTGCTCCTCTCTCCCTCGATCCTCTTCCTATTTACCGAGGCTCTCCAACTATCAAGAAATGCACTCTTTAGCGACCACTTTGTCTCTCTCTCACTCGATCATGTGTCTTTGGTCCTCTTCCTTGCTGTCTGTCTCTCTTTCTCTCTCTCTATCTCTCTTCTCTATCTGTCTCTTACTTATCTCTTTCTCACCACCCATCTTCTCTACCACATTCACCACTACTGCAAATGCCATTCCATTATTACCACTACTATCACTGCAAATGCCACATTGACCACAAAAAAATTAACTTTATTTGAATGGAAAATATTATCCCTACTTCTACCAAATAAAAAAATAATAATAATTTTTTATTCATTAAAATAAATATGAAACAAATAAATTTTCAACCTTACTAAATGAAAAAATAAAAATAAAAATTCATTAACTATAAAAAAATTATTTTAATAAAAAATAATTTTTTTAAGCAATGACATCCTCTGCTGCAAAAAAAAAAAAAATCATTTTATTATTTAAATATTTATTTGTAATGAAAATAAAAAAAAAATCCAAAAAAATTTCCCCCCCCCTTTTCATTCCCGCCCGGTTTCCATTCCCGCTCCCCCCTCCCCCTCCCCCCAAAATCCCCAATCTGTTCAACCAAAATCCCCAATCGGGTTCTCCCCCAAAACCCCAACCTCTTCAACCAAAATCCCCCCCGAAAAACCCAAAATCCCCAATCTCTCCTTCCGTTTATCTCTCTACCCATTTGTCTCTCTAGGTTTTAGGGTTTTGAGTGTGAGAGAGATGGGGCAACAGTCTTTGATCTACAGCTTCGTGGCTAAAGGAACAGTGGTTCTCGCCGAACCCATACGTTTCTCATCCGCCCCTTCCTTCTTCAGCTACCAAATCCACGGCCTTCTTAAACTCTCACAAATGGGTACGTCTCTCTCTCTCTCTCTCTTCCAAAACCCTAATCTTTTCATTTTTTATGGTTTATTTTTGTAAAATGAACTACTGTTTGGTTTGGATATGTTGATTTCAGGCATGTTCCGGTGCGGTTCACTGCCGGTTGATGGATGCGGCTCATCCCGGAATCGTGCCAATGCACAAAGTCAACTTCGATGCCAAGAACGAGTACGAGATGATTCAGAACTACAAAGTTCTTCAAGATGTCTTTAACAAAATGAAGATTACCAAGGTTTCATTTTGTTCACCCCCAATTTCTCTTTGTTTTTATACTAGGGTTTCATATCTTTAATTTAATTATTATTATTATTTTTTTGATTGCTTGTGTAATGTGGGTACAGCACATTGAGGTGAACAAATTAGTGAAAGGAAGGCCCTTGGATAATCTGGAGTTTATGCAATGGATGAAGCGGTACTGTGATTCGGTTAGTGGAGGGGTTCTGTACAGGTACATTTCAACCCTGTTTCTTTCCTCTATGAATTTGTCTGAGCATTTTTGTGCTTTCTTGTTTATTCTGCAAAACCCATAGAGAAATGTAGTCCGTTTCTGGTGTAATTGGGTCTTTGAAGAAGATGGTTCATCGTACACAAATCTTTAATAGCAGTTTACATATTTCTACTGTGTAATCTGAAATCTGATCATATTTCTACAATGTACGAGTTTGTGGAGACAATGAATTTGGATTAATTGGCAGCCTGATACCAGTATCGACTCAACTGCTTGCTTTGAATTAATTGGCAGCCTAACTTGGTGTTTTGAGCCTCTTGACTAAACAAATTTGTTTCAAACAAAAAAATTTAGTTTGTATCCAGAATCCCTAGATTATAGGAGTCTCAATCTCAGTCTCGCTAAGGACCTTAAACAAGAATTGAGTAGGTTCTCATTTTTAGTGTCTATGATATGTGGCTTTGTTTTGTTTTAGCTAATTTATATACAAGGGGAAGAGGGAAAACTTGGCATGGTAGAACCAAGAGCAATGAGGAATAGTCCAAGCATAATGCTGATGATGAACCAAGAGCAATGAAAATTATCTCTTCCTGTTAATTACAATAAAACACAAATGAAAATTAATTACCAAGAGACAAGGGATGAGCATCATATGATTCTTTTAATGAAATTTTTGCTTATTTTTAAATTGCAGTTTGCAAAACATCCATTCCTGATCTCTTACACACATTTGAGAAACCAGACCCCTGCCACACTGCGAGGATTTTCAAGGTGAGTATAAGGCATTTACAAAGTTTGGTATTGCCTTATGCATCAAATTACAATGAAATCAGATTACAATGAAATCAGCTATTTGTGAATGGATTTAGAATGGATTAGATCATGTATTTTTATTATATATGTGGTGCATTTATGACTTTCGTTGTGGTCCAAAAGAGCCTTCACGTTTATAATAGACCAACACAGGTGATGTTTGGCAACAAATATATAAGGTACAATAGGACCTTTAGCCCACAAATTTGTATGAAACAAAAGTATGATTTCATACTTGATGATGCAGAGCCCAAATTCAACTTTGTTTTGTTTTAGTCGAGTAGTATTAACCCAAGATGTGGTTTGGACTTTCTTTTCTTGCGTTTACCTTTTTTTCCTTTTCTTTTCTTTTCTTTTCTCTATAATTTTCTTGTTTAAGTTAACAACATGAACATGATGGAGTTGTTGTGATGCTTCTTCCATGGCTTTGACTCAATTGGTAAACAGTGTTTAATTAAATAATCATAAGTGAACCTTTTTCTTCTATTAAAAAATCTAATGGAAAATGGAAAGTATAAGAATTATTTTTATTTTGTATTTCATAAATTTTTTTATTTTGATTTTGATAATTAAAATGATACAAAATGGAAAGTATAAGAATTATACGAATTTGTATTAAACTTACATCTTTTTGTGAAACTACTTATGTAAGTTCATGAAAATTTATGTAATATTGTGTAAAGTTGTATGTGGTGTACAATGCACACTCAAGATTTTTCTGTATAGGTAATTTATCTATTTTTTAAATATATAATATAATGCTAAAATTATCTATCTAAATACAAAAGAAATAAAAAAAAGAAAACGACATCAAGAAAGGTTGTTTTGATGAAATAAAATCATTATTATTTTTTCCTACTTATCCAAACAAGAGGATTTCAAAAACAAATTTTGAGTTTTCAATGTATATTTTTTTTATTGAACATTTTTTATATTTTAATCATTTTTTAACTTTTAAAATTCATCTAATTTAAATATACTTAAAAAGTACAAAATTTGTATTAAAACAAAATCTTTAAGCAATTCACTAAATACAAAAAATTAGAATATTTTTATATTTTTTTGTATTTATTATTTTTCAAAAAAGTTTCTTCACAAATATTTTAAATTTTAAGTACATTTAAATTAGATGTATCTAAAAATAAAAATAAAAATTGACCAAATATTAAAAAATTTACGAAAAACAAAAAAATACCAATTGAAAACTCAAAACCAGTTTTTGAAAAACTCAAAACCAAACAAAGTAATTTTTTTTTTTTTTTTCTCTTTCAACTTAAGAAATTCTTTCAAATCTCCCCTTATTTCCACAAAAAAATACCAATTGAATCACTAAGTTTTGTTACCAGTAAATATGTGCATATACATCATTTACTGGTTGTGCCATGAGATTTATTGAAGGTAAGGAAGTTTTAAGTTTAGGTTCTTAGATGAGCTGATTTTTCCCATGTTATAATCAGTCTTTGCCTTCTTATTATATGAAGATCCACCAATGTGCTCTATCTCTCTACACCAACAGACTAATAGGCAATGTGCAAGGTATTAAATCTTTCTTTATGCAAGGATCGTCAATGATGCTCTGTGGTATGGATCGGGTCTAGGTGTATGTGTAGCCTTACCTACGGATTTTGCTGGAGTGCAAAGCCCCAATGTTGGTGGGGGATATTGTAGAAAATTCAGTAGAGCACCCAAGACCCTAGGCAAACCTAGGTGATTGTATTATTATTTTTCCTTTCATGTGCAAAATTTATATAATCGTTGCTCATGCATGAATTTACAACATATAGCATATATTTGATGAGATCACATTGTTAGTTTAGTGCCTTGGAGCTGAATGATACATGAAACTAAGTATACCTTAATCTATAATTGAATGATAATAATTGATGATGATGTGATAGTGAAATATTGGTGTTAACTTTGGTTTGTTCTTTGTGATGTTCAGGAGATAGTGATGTCACAAAAAACCAGTAGACCCGATTAAAGTTTACTCTGAGAGATATGCAGTTGTTCCTGATGACAACGTAAGTGTTCTTTCCACAGTTTTCATTGTCTTCATTACTGGTGTTTAAATAGTTGGTTTCTCCAAAAGATTATAATTTGCAACTGTTATCTATTTATTTGTAGGTCAAAAGGATAAATTTTGCCGAGGGGAAGATCTGATTCTAGAAGTAAGGAATTTGCAGCTTGATTTTTGAAATAGGCTCAAAATTGAGATCTTGTTGGAAATTTTTTATTTTTTTTATTTTTTTTGTAAGAGCATTTAAATATCCAATGTGCTGATTGGTGAATTTTAGATTTTATTTTATTATTTTATTTTTTTTAGGATTTGGGTGAATTTTATAATTTAAATATGCTTCTATGAACATGTACAGTTTAATTATTCTTTGTAAAATATTGAATTTGATGGTTTGATCAATTTTTATTTTTATTTTCTGTTATAATGTTTTTGTGAATGGAATGTAAATAATCAGCTCTTAGAGAGTGAGAGACGGCACCACCGTCGGAAAAAATAGAAATTTTTAATATTTTTATTAATTTTGTTATAGGTTTTATTTTTTGCGACGACATTATACTGTCGCAAAAAATAGAAATTTTATTATTTAAAATAAAAATTTTATTATTTTTTAATATTTTTTGCGACGGCATTACACTGTCGCAAAAAATAGAAAATTTCATATTTTTTATACTTTTTGCGACGGCACCACACCGTCGCAAAAACAGTATTTTTTTTAAAGAAAAAGACTATTAGCGACGGTATTTTATGCCGTCTCAAATAACATTTTTAGCGACGGTAAAAATAAGGCCGTCGCAAAAAAGTCAAGAAATTTCAAACGTTATTAGCGACTGCACGGTGCCGTCGCAAAAAGGTAAAAAATGCCGTCGCAAAACATTAGCGACGGCACTTACCGTCGCAAAAACTCTTTTGCAACCCCTGCAGTTGCGACCCCCCTCTTGCTGTCGCAAAAAGTCATTTTGCCGTCGCAAAAAGTATTAGCGACGGCATTAGGAGTATTAGCGACGGTATTTTACCGTCGCAAAAAGTCAATTTTTTTGTAGTGAAAGGAAGTGATTGTGTGCCTTAAACTTGGAAATTATCTTTATTTATAACCTGCTCCCACTAGCCGTTGTGGGTTGTTAGCCCTCTTCCCACTCCTCACATCAACCCCTATTCTCTAGCGATTGTGTTACACTAAGCGTGGATTTCTAGAAGTTTGTTGGGCCTAGAGTTTAGGAACACGTCTTGACTGAGTCTGCTCCCCTAAGATATGCTTTATGCTCCTCTAATCTTAAACCTAAATGTCTGGACCTAAAACCCCAATTTTGATTCTGGACTTCTAGTTTTGAACTTTCACGCAAGATCTAGTCCACCAAGACCTAAATCTCTAAATTTCTGAATGCTTCTGGCTTGTCAAGAAGTTATCCTGACCATAACTTTTGGTCCTCCTCAATCACAGCTTCTTTTAGCCTTCCACAGTAACAAGTATTTTATTTTGGGTTAAGTAACAAATTTTGATGATTTAGTAATTATTTTTTTTTCAAAATATCCATTTTAACTCAAGAATAATCTCATGCATTTATCATTAATTTACGTTATAATCTAATTAGAAAAAATAATGAAAAATGCTATAGGCCCCAAATTACAGACCCCACACCCATATGAGACATTTGGTCATTTATTTGGTAAAAAATTTGATATCCCTAACATTACCCAAAAATAATTTATCATTTGTGATTAGAGTAATTATTATGACTACTATGCTATTATTGAACTTCTCAAAATAATGTACAAGCCTCACCAGATTTAAGCAACTGTAAATTATTTTTCCAACAATTAAAAAAGAAAAAATCATATACAAATATGCTACTTAGACCTATTTTCTAAACTCAGAGATATGTCACGAAATTGATCGGTTGATAATTAGAGAATCTTTAATTATCAACCAATTATCTTTTTAACACATCACTAAGTTTAAAAAGTGAGTCTAATTTTTTAGTTTGATTAGCAACGCTCTTAAAAAAAATTAGATAAAAAAACCTAAAATTCTTGAGATTGTGATTTGTAATTATGATTCAATATCAACAATGAATAACAATCCTCAAACAATCAATGATAGATCTAATCCAATCAAGAGTGAATTGAATTAGATCTAATATCAACCAACAACAATGGACAGGGACAGATTCACAATTTTTATTACGGAGGGGCTGAGATCAGAATAAATTTTTTCCTTTATATATCAATTGTTATGTATTTTTGTTATATTTCAATTCAAGAATGAGAAATAACTAAGATCTGATACTAAAATAATACGTATAAAAAATATATTGTATTTAGTCTTAACATGATCAAAAGCAAATTCATAAATATTTAACTTAAACATATAAATAAAAGAGAAATTAGAAGTTAATTATTTTTTGTATATGCCAATTAAATTGTCTATTAAAGTGAAAGTCTGTGGCTTTTTGTGAGTTCAAATTTCAAAACTTTTCAACAGGTCTCATGTGCATCTCATTACTTTGGTATTATCATTAAACCCGTGCTATATGTTGAAAGTCAAACTCAATTTGAGTTTGGACAAGAAGGTTGCAAAGAATTCCAATTTAAAGAAGAGGAATTAAATTTGAATTTGAAGGACAAAAGAAGAAGCTGGAGCTTTGGAGACTTCATCAAGTTTCTTCTTCATTCTAGACTCTCTTCTTCAACTTGAACTTTGGAGCCTCCAAATTCATGAAGGTTTTTTTTTTTCAATTGAATTGATTTAGTTGATATGGGGAACATAACACTAATTTAAATTTGAGTAATTCTATTTACACACCATCAATTCTCTCAGTACACACCATTTAACTAATAAATTTATATAATAATAATATCCTCAAATAAAATGACTATTAAGGACAATATGGGTGTGTATATACTCATTTCAACAATTTACATATGAAAACACAAATATCTCTATACGCACCATTACCTAGAACAAATCTCTTTTCTATTATTTTTCAAACTCAAAATATTATTGTTTTGGAAGATTTAGGATTTTAAAACATTGAAATCAATTGATTTTAAAATTTTACATTCTATGGATGACATTGATTTGGAACAAAACAATAATGAAAATGTCAGTTTATTTGCTATTTATCTTGTTCGTATTAATTTGGAGCAAAAGGCTGCTGTTTATCTTTACAACAATAACTTATTTATTTTGTGTGCACATAGAGTTAAACATTTACAAAATGTTCAATTATTTATGTTTGAATAGAATCATTTTCTTCATATTATTAAAGTTAATCAAATGTTAAACTTTCATACATATATAAAAAATTGAACATTTTGATTTAGTTTGAATATAAATTTGTGAACTTATTAAGTTTTTTCAATACTCTATTTATGAACAATACTAAAACTATTTCTTTGTTTAAATTTTTGCAAAATACCACACTAATTGCTTTGTCATCGAAAAATTTCGGCCCGCCGTTTGATTCTCTCTTTTGCTCTCACGTTGCTTTCATAGATTCAACACATATCGGGGAGAGAGAGACACATAGAAATATAAAATTACCGTGAATTACATTTTAGACCATTTTGTCTTTTCAATATTGATGGTGTGTACATCATCTTGTGTTAGGGTGTGTATTGTGTTATGTGGGTTAAGCTAAAAGAGTAATATTATGGTGTGTATATTGAGTGAAAAATCAAAAATTCAAAACATTATTAATGTGAACTAAATGATGATATATACTGAGAAAATTAAAAGTGTGTAAATAGAATCACCCTTTAAATATAGTTGAAAATTACATTTCATGGAGAAAAGTCGTGTGAGAATTTTGTATGTAACGTGAATTTTGTGTGTCTATGACATCTATTTTTGACATTTTTACAACATTGTTATGGTATATGTACATGAAAATGGGAAGACTATCGTGTATCAGTCACTCTTGTTCTTTCGGTGGGACCAATTCTAGGTTTTATTTTGATAACATGAATTGTTCTTTCTGTGCGACGAACTCTAGGTTCTATTTTGATGACATAAATTGTTATTTTTTAGAGTGTTATGTAAAAAATTAAATTGCACAGAAATTGATAACAATTGATCGAATCATATTTTTATTCAAGTTAACATTCAAACTCACATCTACCTTTCATTTTATTAGATACAAATGTGTTTTGATCAAAAGGTTACTAATATCCGATTAACTAATTTTTTACAAAAATATTGTACTTGACGGACTCAAAAAATTAAAAGTTCGAATTATCAAAATAAGATCATTGAAAGCACAACTGTGATTGTTGTACTAGAAAATAACAATCACCTAACATCCTATATATACCGATATTTATAATGTATTATTTATGGTATTTATACACTTATCAATGTGAGACCATTTCACACATTAGATTTTGCACTTGAATGTCTGCACTGAATTATTCTTTCACAACAATGAAAGGTGAATCATTTTATGGGTTTGATTTACTGTAAATCTTAAAATTTGTGTATCTATATTGAATTGGATGTTGATTCGAATAATTGGAACAATGTACTATGTAAACATTCATAATAGATATCTTGTACACCTTCGATTTGGATCCTAAAATGTTTTGTGGTTTTTGAATGTAAATATCAACATTAAATCTGGATGCCCTATATCTACATTGAATCAGATGTTTGAAACATAATGTTGATGTTTGGTGTTCAAGGTTTGCTTTCTTTGTGGCTTTTGTGTTGGCTTATTTTTGTTTTTTAATGAATTTTTTAAAAATATTTTGAATAAAATTTTAAATTTTAAAATTCTATTCAACGAGATGAAATGAAATGTAACATACTTTCTGTGTGAGTGATTTTCTGACCACACTGCCCGCTTAGTAACCAGCTGGAGAGCACCGGCAGAATAGATGGCACCTGGCTGACCTGCAACAGAAAAAGAAGATTTCAGCGGTGGTTCGTCCACCCGGGGGCACTCCGACAATCAAGTCAGTATATCTCTCAAAGATAAATCAAGTGCTAAACTCACAAGCTTGAGTATCAAAAGCATACCTTAGACCCAAGGGGGTGCCTTTCTTTTATAGTCAACATAAACCTAGTCCCAATAGAAGCCTAACTTCTATAGACTCAGGATTACTGCTAATCTTGGACTCCCAGTAAGATTAGGATAAACTCTCTAAGAGTCTTATCTTAATACAAACTGAAGTCTTCTCTCATTCTAGGACTCTTGCCCCTCATCCGCTTATCTCAGATTCCAATATCTTCGGAGGTAACCTCGGCCTATCCGAGATGACCTTGGCATAACAA